TCTCCCCCTCTCTCTCTCTCTCTCTCTCTCTCTCTCTCTCTCTGCCTTTCTCTGCCTCTACTACCCTCTTAACTCCCCTCCCCATGCCCTGAATAAACTCTATTCTATACTATACCGGTGTGTGGCTGGTTCCTCAGGGGGAAGGGATACCTTGGCATGGGTCCACTGAGACATCCCCTTCCCCCGTACCTCTCCACACACCCACAGAACATATTCTCTTTATCTTTTTATAAACATATCAGAGGGAGCTTCAGGTACTGGAATGAAAGACCCATTAAAGGCCCTTGCACTCCAGCTTACGAGCCCACATATGTAGTTTGTAGAAACTGGGTCCCCAGATCCCTACTGCTCCAGATGGAACGTTCCTTTCAACCCTGAGGAGCCTCTCCTACTGGACCCCATTCTCCATTTCATAAGCGGCGGGTCACCACTTAAGGGTCTCTTCTGGATCCTTTTTACATCTCTGGCTGGTGCCTTGTCATCTTCCCGGATACTGCTACCCACCACTCGTCTAACCACCTGTAAGGTATCCGGAGGACCTCCTCCCCACATGCCCTCCACAGGGCAGAAAAGAAAGCCGACTCCTCTCCACTGAACTTCTGAGCTTCTCTTCTTTCCTTCTGAGTGTTCTAGGCTTTGCTCCTCTCAGCAGCGCCTTGGGCTCAGTGTGAAGCCCTGGGGACCAGAACTCACAAATTCCTTAATTCCACCCAGCCTTCCACAGCCTTCCACAGAGCACCAAAGATTTCCCAATTTACACCTGACACGGGAAGTCCCGGCAGCACCTTCTGTTGAACATGCCCTATAAACCCTTGCTTGCTTGCTTCCTTCCGTCTCTGGAGGCACAAGAAGCATTTACTGGGAGGGAGGGGGAGGCTGCAGCTTCTCCTGGGAGGGTATGGGCCACAATTTTCCACTGCCTTCCCAGTCTTGAAGCTGAACCTACCCTGAAAGAGACTAGAGGGGTCAGGTTGTGCTCCTAAGCCCTGGCTTCCTCTTCAGCCCTGTGTCTTGATTCAGAAGGCCCCAAGGTAGCCTTCATTGGATCCTGGTCTCAGAGTTGGTGTTGGATAAGCAGCTAGTAATTTAGTATCTGGATCCCAATAGAGGGGCACATGACTTAATGATGTCATTATTTACCTCCCACACCCACCCCTCCTCCTTTTCCCTCCCTTTCTTTCTTTCCCTTCTTTGCATTTCTTTTATTTCTTTAGTGGGTTTTTTTTTCTTTTTGAGACAGGATCTATGTACTTCTTGGCTATCTTGGAACTCACTGGACTGTAGACTAGGCTGGCCTAAAACTCAAGAGATCCACCTGTCTCTGCCTCCTGAGTACTGAGATCAAAGGCATGCATCACCTTGTCTGGCTGAGACTCTGTCTCAAAACAAACAAACAAACAAAAAAGTGTAATAAGATACCCAATGTCAACCTCTGGCCCCCATAGACAATCCCCGCTTCAAACACATACACACTGAAGAGACTAAAAAGAGTCAGTTGCAAATGTAATGGGCAGAACCATCTGGAAGGGAGGTGGATAGCACATTAGATGTGGGCACAAGGTGAGACAGGAGGAAGGGGCTGGTGTCCTCTGTACTCAGCCATTAGGAGGTGGCCTGGCTCCAGAGCAGGCTCACCTTTATGGTGGTAATGGATGCAGTGTTGCAATGGCCAGAAGGGAAGTGAAGGCAGACAATTCTTCAGGAAGTTTGGCTGCCGGAGGTGTAGGATGTTGGGGGTGGGGGGGGTGGGGGGGGTAGAGTTGGAAGGAAGGGAGTGTCTTTCTTACCAGCGGTCAGCAGCACCTGCTTACACACACGGCAGGGTGTGGGGACCGGATGTAGGGTTGGTATGAGTTCTGTTAGTATCTTTGATGTGAGAAGCCATTTACTGTGAATGGGAGGAATTTAAGGTATTTAAGAGTAACCCTCTATACATTCCAGTGTGCCCCAAGCAATTCAGTCCCTCTCACTGACCACTAACTCAGTCCTACCCCACTAATCTTTCCCCTCATTTCTCTCCCCAACGAAGACGGAAGATTGAGCTGTCTGCGATGTGATGCCTCAGACCAAAAGGTATTTTGGGTTTGAGGGGTTTTTTTTTTGGAATATTTAAATACAAATAATAAAATCAGGAAGATGGGAAAGTCTAAACATGCAATGGATTTATTTTTGCCAACGGCTATTAATCTACATTGCCAGAAAGTAATTTTATACTTTATTTTTTTTTCAATGCTGGGGATCAAAACCAGGGTCAGCCCCCAAATCCAGAACTTTTGGAAAACTACCCTGATGCTACAAATCTGATGACTTATTGAATACAAGTTTTAAATTATTAGGATACTTGTGTACTACTGGGGATATAACTAGGTGAAAACCGTGTATGATACTTTGGGTTCAATGCCAGCACCAAAACAAAACGAAACTTCAGATTAGAGTCCTCTCTACTTTCTCTCAGTTGCAGATGATGGTTTATGTGGATGGAGCATTGCAGCATATGCCTGCAATCCC